CCGAGCTCTACAACCGTCGCCGTTGCCTGGATCGGGCCCCCAATGACCGGATCCGGCATCCTCCGCCACAGATCTGCTCCCTGCACCCGTTCTAGTCCTCCCTCTATCAACCCCATCACCAGAGCCGTCGTCGGCCTCATCCCACATCGGGAGGATGACGCCAAGCGCTCTACCCCCCTGCCTAGGCCACATGGCACCGGCCCAGCTGCCAGGCCCAGCGGCTCCCGGCCTGCCAAGCCTATCCCCCGAGTGGGCCTCATCCCGATGTGAGCAGCCACCCGAACCCCCGAGGGTCATCTTATTTTACCCCCTAGGCGAGTGCTCCTCTGACTGTTGGTCCGAACTAGATCCCTTTGTAGCGCCACCTCGGGGAAACTTGATGGCTCGTTTTAGTTGTACGGATTGCTCATACGGTGTGCCCTGAGAACGAGATATGTGCAACTCCTATCGGGATTTGTCGGCATAGTCGGGTGGTCTTGATGGTCTTGTTTTACCATTGTCGAAATGTGTTGTAATCGGGATTCCGAGACTGTCGGGTCTTTCCGGGAGAAGGAATATCCTTCGTTGGCCATGAGAGCTTGTGATGGGCTAAGTTGGGACACCCCTGCAGGGTATAAACTTTCGAGAGTCGTGCCCGCGATTATGTGGCAGATGGGAATTTGTTAATATCCAGTTGTAGGTAACTTGACACTTGACTTAATTAAAATGAATCAACTGCGTGTGAAGCCGTGATGGTCTCTTTTCGGCGGAGTGAACACGGTCTTGTGTTATGTTTGAATGTAAGTAGTTTCAGGATCACTTCTTGATCATTTATAGCTTTCGACCGTTGCATAGCTTCTCATCTTACTCTTATTTGAGTTTGTTAGCCACCATATATTGCTTAGCGCTTGCTGCAGCTCCACCTCATGACCTTATCCTACCCATAAGCTTAAATAGTCTTGATCTCGCGGGTGTTAGATTGCCGAGTCCTTGTGGCTCACAGATATTTCCAAACAGTTGCAAGTGTCGATGATACCAGTGCAGGTGACGCAACTGAGCTCAAGTGGGAGCTCGATGAAGATCTTGGTCATTGTTATGTGTCTTTTCCGGATGATCAGTAGTGGTGCCCAGTTGGGACGATCGGGGATCTAGCATTTGGGGTTGTCTTCTTTTATTTTGGTTTTGTAGTCGGACCTTGATTGTACTCTGGATGATGTATGTTTAACTTATTATTTGTGTGAAGTGGCGATTGTAAGCCAATTCTTTATCCCTTTCTTATTCCGTACATGGGATTGTGTGAAGATTACACCTCTTGCGACAAACCACCATGCAGTTATGCCTCTAGGTCGTGCCTCGACACATGGGTGATATAGCCGCATTGTGGGCGTTATAGAGGGTCTTGTAGATAGACACGCCTTCTAGCCTTCCCTCTTTTTAGTTGTCTGTACTCAGAAATGTTATGCTTTCACTTGTTACTTGTATGACTTTGTATGTAGGGTCATGAGACCCATGTTTGTAATATCATGTTATGTATCGCTCCTCGGAGCCTTTCAAATAAATACTTTGAGTCGTAGAGTTATGTTGTGATGTTATGTTCTATTTACACATATCGTGCGTATTGTGTGTATGTTTTGAAATGCACTGGTATGTGTGGGATTCGCCACCTTGTTAACTGCCTTGGTAGCCTTCCCTATGGGGAAATGCCTCCTAGTGCTTCCATTAAGCCATGGTAGTTCACTACTGCTCCGAAACACATGGATTGACCGGCATGTATCCTTCTTTGCTCTTGTGTCTGTCCCTATAGGGAAATGTCAGGCGGTGTTTACTAAAGTCCTTGTAGCTTTGCTACGACTTGGTTACACTCACTATTAACCGACACGTGCATTCTGGGTTACGTAATCCTATCCATGTACGTTTGTGCCACCTTGGTTTATGACTAGTCATCTCGGCCCGGGTTCTCTGGCATATGGATGCTAGCATCACAATATTATAGGTGAGTCTAAAGACGCAAATGGTCCCAACCAAGGTAAAGGTAACAGTCATGGGTTACCATGCGTGAGGCCACAAAGTGATATGATGTGTCTTATGCTAGATCAGTGTGACTTAGGATCGGGGTCCTGACAGAAAGGTTATGGCTCTGCCCTCGGCACATATGGGCACCGATACGTCTCCAACATATCTATAATTTTTTATTGTTCCATGCTATTATATTAATTGTTTTGGATGTTTTATATGCATTTATATGCTATTTTATATTATTTTCAGGACTAACCTATCAACCTAGAGCCCAGTGCCAGTTTCTGTTTTTTCCTTGTTTTTGAGTTTCACAGAAAAGAAATACCAAACGGAACAAAACCTTCGCGATGATTTTTCTTGGACTAGAAGACACCCAGGAGACTTGGAGATGAAGTCAGAGGAGCCACGAGGCCGCCACAAGGGTGGAGGGCACGCCCCCCTGTCTTGTGGGCCCCCCGTGACTCCCCTGACCTAATTCTTTTGCCTATATATATTCACATATATTTCCAAACCACCAGAGGCATCCACGAAAACACTTTTCCACCGCCGCAACCTTCTATACCCGTGAGAACCCTTCTAGGGACCTTTTCCAGAACCCTGCCGAAGGGGGATTCGATCACGGAGGGCTTCTACATCAACTCTATTGCCCTTCTGATGAAGCGTGAGTAGTTTACCACAGACCTACGGGTCCATAGCTAGTAGCTAGATGACTTCTTCTCTCTCTTTGATTCTCAATACCATGTTATCCTCGATGTTCTTGGAGATCTATCCGATGTAATACTCTTTTGCGGTGTGTTTGCCGAGATCGATGAATTGTGGATTTATGATCAGCTTATCTATGAATATTATTTCAATCTTCTATGAATTCTTTTATGCATGATTTGATATCTTTGTAATTCTCTTCCAACTATCGGTTTGGTTTGGCCAACTAGAATGGTTTTTCTTGCAATGAGAGAAGTGCTTAGCTTTGTGTTCAATCTTGCGGTGTCCTTTCCCAGTGACAGTAGGGGCAGCAAGGCTCGTATTTTATTGTTACCATCGAGGATAAAAAGATGGGGTTTTCATCATATTGCTTGAGTTAATTCCTCTACATCATGTCATCTTACTTAATGCATTACTCTGTTCTTCATGAACTTAATACTTTGATGCAGGCAGGAGTCGATCGATGTGTGGAGTAATAGTTGTAGATGCAAAATTGTTTTGGTCTACTTGACACGGACGTGATGCTTATATTTCATAATCATTGATTTAGATATCGTCATAACTTTGCGCTTTTCTATCAACTGCTCGACAGTAATTTCTTCACCCATAGTATTATTTGCTATCATGAGAGAAGCCTCTAGTGAAACCTATGGCCCCGGGTCTATTTTCCATCATATAAGTTTCTGACCTACATTATTATTTTCCAATATACTATTTTGCAATCTTTTAATTTTTGATCTATAAACCAAAAATACCAAAATTATGTACTTTACAGTCTATTTAGTTTCATCTATCTTTATCATATCTCACTTTTGCAAGTAACCGCGAAGGGATTGGCAACCCCTTTATCGTGTTGGGTGCAAGTTGTTTGATTGTTTGTGCAAGTATTGGTGATTTGTGCGTTCTCTCCTACTGGATTGATACCTTGGTTCTCTAACTGAGGGAAATACTTATATCAACTTTGCTGCATCTCCCTTTCCTCTTCAAGGGAAAAAACAACGCAAGCTCAAGAAGTATCAGGCACACAACTGAAATGGCTCGTACGGTGCATATTCGACGATGATTCTTGAGTTTGACTCCCTCGGGCGGCATTATATGCCACCATTTTTGCCAATAAACCAACACTGACAGGTGGGCCCCGAATTGTCCCACTAGTCAGTATCTGGGCCAGGTAATGGTCAACAACTTTGACCCGGTGACAAGGCTCTGTTTTGGGCATTTGTCAGTGTGGGATGAGTAGAGGAGGGGAAAAGTGAGGAATATTAGTTGGGTGGGGCAAAACTAAGTAATCAGGGGCATGAAAGTAGAAATACCTTTGTGATATGCTAGTAGAGGTCAAGAAGAGAATGGACTTCTTTTGAGCCCGACTCATCTGGAAAGAAGGAAGTATTACCAAGAACAAGTTACAGTCCACAACTGTAACCAAAAGTAATGTAATATGGGAATATGTAGCGTATACGTACAACATGTTAGAACCTCGAGTGCAACATGCTAATGGCAATCCTTAGAGGAACTGGACATAGCCGACTAGACACGATTCGCCCAAGATTGATAGACGGCCAGGATGTGCCGCAGACCAACATTCTACATGGCAATGCGTTCGTGTTGGATTAAGACTCAATGGTAATACACGTGTAAAACCTTGGTTAGGCCAAATCTATTTCGTGCTATATTGGTGTGCCCAAAAGAGCAAGGGGACATAGAGAAATATGCAATTGTAACAACAAGTGTATATAGTATGAATATGCAATGGTAACAAGGATTATCTATATAATGTAATCTAAACTATGTGTATACCTAGCCATGTGAATGTGGAACGGTTACAACGAGTGTGAAACCAGGCCTGAAATAAGTTACATACCATATATCATGATAGGAAATAACTATGGTAGGGAAATCTATAGCATGAACATACAACATCTGAGGACCTCTAGCGCCACACGTCGACGGTTCCCTGACCCAACAATTCGTTGGACAAAGCCAATTAGACGTGTTACACGTTTGATTAACCAGACAACTCACAATGTGACATGCGTCCACACGGTGATGCGTATTTGCGTTGGATTATAAGATAATGGTAATTACGCATGAAACGGTTGTCATGCCAAATCGATTCCAGGCTATGTCATTAATGGGAAACTACCTAGGGAAATAATTGAAACATTGCCAAAAATACAAGGGAAAATATAGAAATAAAAGCCAAGCCCCTATCTCTCAGAAAACAAGAGGAAAAGGAGAAGGGGAACAACCAAAGAAAAGACTAGAAGAGAGAGTGGAGGCGAAATTTGCGAACGCGCGCGTCCATGGCAACCCACCCACACAAATCTCCCATGAAAAATTTACAGTGCAAGGTACAACCTGCGAAGGGGAAGATGGAGCCGAAGCCCAAGAGGAAGAAGTCCAGGGCGGCGACGCCAGCAGAGGTGGAGGAATTCACGGCGCTCGAGCTGGAAGCGGCCGAGCAGCTCATTCGCCTTAGCGAGAGTAACGTGCCCATGGGCACCCCACGCGTCCTCCCCGTCTCCCCCTGCATGGCGCTCTCAGGTCAGTCCTCCTCTCCTCCGCACTCTGCGAAGGCCACGCCAGTGCCGCCATGTCCTGGCGCAATAATTCTTGGCGATTCCGAGGATTGGGAGGAAGATGAGGAGCACGAGGTGGCCGGGAGGCAGCGGAGGGTGAAGCGCTACCGCCTGATCAACGAGATCTACGCTGCGACGGAGCCAATTGGCGGGCACATCGATAGCACCCAGAAGAAGAAGACGAAGAGGGAATAGACGAGGAGAGATGAGAGAGGAGAGGGACATTCTTGTAATTCATGTGATTTCCAGGGGATTGCTTGTAGGTTGAGCTTGTAGTCCTCTCCTTCCTCTTACCAAGAGGCGAAGGCGCTATCATTATCTTTCTCGCTGTCAAATCTTATCTTTGCAATAAGAATTAATTGTTGGTTGGGGGCTTGGGGCTTGATCCATCCATGGTGGCTTGTGAACTCTGAGATGAATTGGTTTTGTTTTTATCATACTGTGTTGCTAGCTGGCGAGGCGGGATCCCAGCTAACTGGTCATCTTTGTAGATGGATGGTCTCCCTTGCAAAGAGGATCAGATCAGCTCTAACCATGGTTGTGGCTTCATAGCTCACGATTCTGTCCGCCGCTGCATGACTGGTCGATGCCTATGTTTATTCAACTTTGGCAATTAATTACTCCTAGGCACATGCGAGTCTGATTCGCAAAAATCTTGATTGAACGATTCAGGTAATTTGGTATATTGTTTATTTGATTCTGGTAACGCTGAGGTGCATCTCACTGGTCTGGGAGTTCAATTTCCTGCAAAAATTCTTGCCGTGTGCACAGAGAACTATACATCAGTAGATATGATGGAGGGCCGGAGTGCCGAGTCTCTTCATCTAATGACAAGCGTGTTCTTCGAATACAACCTTGCCTCGTCACATTAGTCTGGTCGATTCAGGCAAGTCCAACTTCTTGCACGCGACATGATGGAATGTGGTCAATCCAACCGCTGGATCAGAGAAAAGGGCACCTCCCGCGGGGGGATGATCTAGAAGAAGATAGCTTCCATGTGCATCTGGGGTGGGAGACAATGCAAGTAACTAGCCACGAGAGAGATAAACATCTTGCCTCTACGAGGTTCATTCCTTTTACACCAAGCCGTGAGGTTATAATCTGAGAGAAGTAGCTAAACTGCATATAAATATATATTATACTAATCACATGTATCAAAATGTGATCCTACAAATATGATAGTTCATGTTCGTAATGAGTTTGCGATAGTTGGTGCAAGATGACACCTTTTGTTTGTAATTCTAGTTCAGAACTTCAGATTGAGCGCACTCACAATGCATGCATGTTTTCAGTTCCACCACAAAGTTCAGTCGGCTGGTGTGAAGTAGGTTATATATTTTCCCTTGGAAGGTTGGTTCTAGCTTGTAGAAGAAAATAAAGAAACATATAGAGTAGATTCCTACCATATCTACATATCTGCTTCATGGCATGGCTTAGTTTGTCAATGGGTTGGGATAACTGTGATGATGAGCATTTCGATGATTCCATAAGTGGTACAAGGCAAACCAAAGGTTAGTTTGTTAGAATGTATTTAGGTAGGCTCGGGCCCTCACATCAAGGTAATACCCTACTCCTGCTCGTGTATATTGCAATTGGAGGGTGCACAAAGTATACGTGAATACCAAGGAATTATAATATGTCTGTCGATGAGCCCAACCCCGGCTTATATTCTTGGAAATATGGCCTAAAGGAAATAATAAATTGGTTAATATCATATTCCCTTGTTCATGATAAATATTTATTATTCATGCTAGAATTGTATTGATCAGAAACTTAAATACATGTGTGGATATATAAACAACACCGTGTCCCTAGTTAGCCTCTACTATACTTTCTCGTTCAGCAAAGATGGTTAAAGTTTCTTAACCATAGACATGATTTGTTATTTGATAATGGGATCACATCATTAGGAGAATGATGCACTACAAAAAAACATGTAACATCCCAAATTTGGAATGTTTTACAATTATAGCTAAGCATCTATTGCATTTTGTTTGAGTTGTGGTGGAATTTGATATTTCAGAGGCATTTGAGTTTTCTGTTTGAATTTGTATTCATTTCAAACTAGCAATTGAATTATTTTCAAACAATTACTAACAATATATTTTGCTCAAAAAGTATGAGAGGAGGTAATATAACACCCCAAAAGTAAGAAGAAAATAATGTCGAAAGAAATGAAATTCAAGTTTGAGTTTATTTGGAATTTTAAAAAAGATTATTTTATAAACGTTTTGTTTTGCCTCTGAAAAATAGTTCCTCATTTAGGATTTATTTTTTTGGTCATTTTGATATATATGTATATTGTCTACATAAAATATTTTCTTTTTCTCCATTTTATTTTTTCATTTCTGTCGGAAATTCAAAATAGGAAAATTGGGTTAAATAGGAAACAGTGTGAGTTGACCCACCGCATTTGATCCAGCCTAGATACACCTCCGGCACCGAATCATATCCGGATTGGGCATTGCTACCTCTTGAGCACTGCATTGAATTTCCCCGAAGAGGAAGGGATGATGCAGCAAAGTAGCGTAAGTATTTCCCTCAGTTTTTGAGAACCAAGGTATCAATCCAGTAGGAGGCTATGCTCGAGTCCCTTGTACCTACACAAAAACAATAGCTCAATGCAACCAACGCGCTTAGGGCTTGTCAATCCCTTCACGGTCACTTACGAAAGTGAGATCTGATAGAGATGATAAATAATATTTTTGGTATAAAGATGCAAAGTAAATAAAGTAAAAGCAAAGCAATAATAAAGTGATGGAAATTGATATGATGAGAAAGAGACCCGGGGGCCATAGGTTTCACTAGTGGCTTCTCTCAAGAGCATAAGTATTCTACTGTGGGTGAACAAATTACTGTTGAGCAATTGACAGAATTGAGCATAGTTATGAGAATATCTAGGTATGATCATGTATATAGGCATCACGTCCGAGACAAGTAGACCGAAACGATTCTGCATCTACTACTATTACTCCACTCATCGACCGCTATCCAGCATGCATCTAGAGTATTAAGTTAAAAACAAAGTAACGCCTTAAGCAAGATGACATGATGTAGAGGGATAATTTCATGCAATATGATAAAAACCCAATCTTTTTATCCTCGATGGCAACAATACAATACGTGCCTTGCTGCCCCTTCTGTCACTGGGAAAGGATACCGCAAGATTGAACCCAAAGCTAAGAACTTCTCCCATGGCAAGAACAACCAATCTAGTAGGCCAAACCAAACTGATAATTCGAAGAGACTTGCAAAGATAACCAATCATACATAAAAGAATTCAGAGAAGATTCAAATATTATTCATAGATAGACTTGATCATAAACCCATAATTCATCGGTCTCAACAAACACACCGCAAAACGAAGATTACATCGAATAGATCTCCACAAGAGAGGGGGAAAACATTGTATTGAGATCCAAAAAGAGAGAAGAAGTCATCTAGCTACTAGCTATGGACCCGTAGATCTGAAGTAAAACTACTCAAACTTCATCGGAGGGGCTTGGATGATGATGTAGAAGCCCTCCGTGATCGATGCCCCCTTCGGCGGAGCTCCGGAACAGGCCCCAAGATGGGATCTCGTGGATACAAAAAGTTGCGGCGGTGGAATTAGGTTTTTGGCTCCGCCCCCGATCGTTTGGGGGTACGTGGGTATATATAGGAGGAAGAAGTACGTCGGTGGAGCTTCGAGGGGCCCACAAGGCAGGGGGCACGCCCTAGGGAGGGGGGGCGCTCCTACCCTCGTGACCACCTCGTGGCTTTCTTGACGGAGAGTCCAAGTCTCCTAGATCTTATCTGATGAGAAAATCACGTTTCCGAAGGTTTCATTCCGTTTGGACTCCATTTGATATTCCTTTTCTTTGAAACCCTAAAACAGGCAAAAAACAACAATTCTGGGTTGGGCCTCCGGTTAATAGGTTAGTCCCAAAAATAATTTAAAAGTGGATAATAAAGCCCAATAATGTTTAAAACAGTAGATAATATAGCATGGAGCAATCAAAAATTATAGATACGTTGGAGACGTATCAGGCGTCCGATCAGATCTTCCCTCCTCGCTCTCGCTGAGCACCCAGACCCACTGCCCAATCCCCCCACTGGCGCGCTCGCCTTCCTTTCTCTCTTCGATCTCCTTCTCGACGCTGCAGTTCCTCGCCGGATCGGACCAACGCATCGATGCCATGCCTTTTGAACGTGCCCGAGGCCACCACTATAAAGAGTACCCCACCTGGACCCGTTCCCCCTTGATCCCCACCTCGCCGTCTACCACTGCCACCGCAAATTCCTTGTCATAGTTCACTGCTACCACCACACGCCATCGCCCGTTCTGCCGCCATTAGCCAATGTCGACCCCTACCGCCACCACCCAGCTATGCGTCGCTGTCGTCCACATCTTGGGAGCAACTTCCTGGAGCTCGGGACCTAGCGGAGACACCGCCCGACGACCGTTGCCACCTCGGAACTCATTGGACCTGTTGGAAACGAGAGTTTGGCAATGCTTCACGATGTATTGATCGGTGCAAAGCACATGTATATATGGACTACAAGGTGGGCCGCAACCTCAACTATACAATGACTAGGAGGTGGGCCAGGCTATACAATATACATGCACAAAACCATATATTCAACACCCCCCCCCCCCGTAGTCGAAGCGTCATGGGAGACGCAAAGACTGGACCTGAACTCCTCGAAGACAGAAGTAGGCAATCCTTTTGTCATGGCGTCGGCGAACTGCTGCGCCGTTGGGACTTGGAGGACCCAGATGCGCCCAAGAGCCACCTGCTCACGAACAAAGTGTATATCGAGCTCAATATGTTTCATTCGACGATGGTAGACCTGGTTGGCAGAGAGGTAGACGGCGAAGACATTGTCGCAGTAGACGAGCGTGGCCTTGTGAACATCACAAAGCAACTCCTGGAGCAGCTGACAGAGCCAAGAGCATTCAGCAACGGCGTTAGCCTCTGCTTGATACACAGCCTCGACACTAGAGCGGGAGACGGTGGGCTGTCGCTTCAAGGACCAAGAGATCAGGGACGGCCCAAGCTAGACGCAGTACCCCGAGGTGGAGTGCCGTGTGTCCGGGCAGCCAGCCCAGTCTGCATCAGAGTAGGCGACAACGTCGGTGGAGGCGAAGGCTGTCAGCGTAAGTCCCAAGGACTGGCTGCCACGTATGTATCAGAGGATACGCTTCACCAGAG